TGTCATAGAAGGAGTGATAATACTAATACCTAATTAGTGTGTTTCACTTTTCTTTCAAAAAAAAACCCCAACACCTTACATTTTTACTATGGGAGGTGGCATGTGTTGGTAACAGCATCAGTCTCGTTATCTCTCTGGAGAAAGTGAGGGATAGCCGTACTTTTCTCTGCTTCTCGATCTGGTACTTGACTCTATGTTACAGAGCCTACACTACAGAACCCAAAGGAGCCAGAAGTCCCACCTCCAAGGTGAGACACAGATAATTGCTCTCCAAGCAGAAGCAGCTCAGTTAGAAGGCAGTAAAGAAGCTGAGCAGGACCCAGCCAGCAGCCTTGGGAAAGCACAGCACCAGAGGGAGGGAGAAAATGAAGAAGCAGGAGCATGTTATTTTTTCCCCTCTTAGACAGAAGACTTGCTTAGTGAGTGTAAATACAATCTTAAAATGCATAGAGGTTTGAAGAAAACCCATCTGTTATGGTTTGCAATGGGATGAAATAGCCATCACTTCGGCAGAAAGCATTTTCTCCTTTACAAAGGTGAGTATTGATTCAGGGGGGGACTGTCAATTCTCGCACGCACACTTCTCCACAGAGAGACATACATATACCATTCTGCAGGCAGACGAGTGTGACCTTTGTTGTCACATCTTTTGGGAAGACAGAAAAGGGGAACTGGTTCCTCCCTCACAAGCAAGCCACCATTCCCACCACTGCAAGCAGCAGTTTTCAATTCACGTGTTACTCCTCCTGGCCCTCCTGAATCCATCAAGCTGATAACCTCATTATGCCTGTCACCTGGTCTTGGGTCTCCTGGTTCTGCCCTCAGCTGGCACTCTCTCTTCAGCCTTTACTGTGTTACATCTTCATTTCCTTTGTAATGTCATTTAGGTCATCTCCGTGCTGATGCAAGAAAGCAAAACTGTTCCTTTTCCTCAGTGAATGTATAATCTTTTCCTTCTTGAAACCTGAAGAACAGATCTGGAAGTTTTTTACATGCAGTGACATCAGCTTCCGTATTTTAGAATATTCACAGACATGAGTATGAATTTAAACTACTACTCCATATCAAGTGCCTGCTGACTGGCCACAAGTATATTTAAGCTGGAAATCAGAAGTTTCTGGCTGTGAGAGCAATCAGATTATGGAACCCACCTCCTGGCAGAGGGGTGAGCAGAAAAGCATGAAGTAGTTTTTAGTAAGCTCTTGAATGGTTGGTCTAACACAAAACCCCTAAGAGGAAGGCGCGGGGTGTGATGACGTATGAGTGAACACCAAATAATATAATTTGAGAGAATAATAAGACTGGATAAGCCCTGCTCAGCGTTTCTGATCAGGCTGTCCCTACTGTGTTGGGGTCACATCCCTGCAACCACAATGAGTGACGAAGTGACATTAGAAACTAAAATTTACACAAGTGTCAGTCTGAAAGGAACATTCAGAAGTCACTCCATCTATGTGCCCAGAGGCAGGATCAGATACGCTGATGCTTCCCAAGCAAGTGTTTGCCTTACCTGCCCTTAACACACTCCAAGGATGCCACCACCTCCCCAGTACTTGTTATGCTGCTCATTGACTGATAGCTGGGAAACTTTCCCTCCTCTTTATCATAGAATCATAGAATCACAGAATGTTTTGGGTTGGAAGGGACCCCTAGAGCCCACCCAACCCAACCCCCCTGCAGGAGCAGGGCCCCCCCTAACCACATCAGGTTGCTCACAGCCCCGACCAACCTGGCCTGGAATATTTCCAGGGACGGGGCCTCCACCACCTCTCTGGGCAACCCCTGCCAGGGTTTCACCACCCTCATTGGAAAGAATTTCTTCCTTATATCTAGTCTAAACCTACCCTGGTTTAGTTTAAAACCATCCCCCCTTGTCCTGTCACAGCTGGCCCTACTAAAAAGATTTTCCCCATCTTTCCTATAGGCCCCCTTTAGGTATTGAAAGGCCACACTCAGCTCTCCCCACAGCCTTCTCTTCTCCAGGCTGAACAAGCCCAACTCTCCCAGCCTGGCCTCATAGCAGAGGAGCTCCAGCCCTCAGAGCATTTTTGTGGCCCTCCTCTGGACCTGCTCCAACACTTCCATGTCCTTCTTGTGCTGAGGGCTCCAGAGCTGGACGCAGTACTCTAGGTATAACCTAATTGAGCTTGTTGCATCTTGACCTATTCTCAGGAGACATGGGGAACAACCGACCAGCATCTTTCTCATCACAACCTTATATCTTTAAGGTTCATTGTCGTATTTCCTCTTCTGTTTTCTCCCTGCTAGACTCAGTCCTCTTCTTTCAACCCTATGCGTCTTGCCCCTCTTATGCTGTTACCTTCCTCCCATCCCAACCTAGGCTAAGCCTCTTTTATTGAGCCTCTCTAGCTTGGGGGTATTGAGAAAGCAAAAAATTACCTCCTTTGTCTTATAGGCAGTATGCCCTGGTAACACAGCTGTTCCCTCTTTCTTTACTGGTGTATTTAATTTTTTCCCCTTCTCAGTGCAGTATTTTGCACCAGGTTTAT